CATTTTCTCAATAAAATAGAAAAAGTTATCGATTATTTTTCTTTTTAAAAAAAAAGCTGTTTTCGATTTTTTTCTCCATTATACAAATGTTATCGACAACATTTTTTCACAGATAAGATGTAATCGACAACTATCCTCAACAGAAAATATGTTATCGACAAAAATTGTCCACATATAATATGTTATCGACAACTATTATCCATATAAAAGTTTTTATCGACAGCATTTTTCCACATACAAGATGTTATCTATAACTTTTCTCCATAGAGATGTTGTTATCGGCAACTTTTCTTCGTAGGAATGTTGTTATCGACAACTTTTCTTTATAGAACTTTTTCTCCATGGAAATTTTTTTCTTTTGTTAAGTATTATTATTATTATTTGAACAGACTGCTGTAGGGTATAGACAGACACATGTAGACTGTTTTAGATGATCCCACATAAAAGAACTTTGCCCCTGTCGCAAATATGTTCGTACGATCTGTATAATTATTATACAGTATGTTTCATTTCATGACGACAAAATTTCCACAGACTGTTCACGTGCAAGTATTTTGTGTGTGGAGGCGGCGGCGTTCAATAAAATAGTAATGATAGGTCAAATCTGGAGGGCATATAAATGTCTACGCATTTTGATTATTTTGTGGTTAATAACTACTTGTCTTGAAATGTAATCCAATGTAAAAAAATCATATGATTTTTATGATCGAAAGTTAAAACAATATCGATAACTACTCTCTCTTTGTGAATCATGGAAAAATTCTGCGCGAATTAAACAACAAATGGAAATGTTATTCATTTGTGATAACATATCCCTCATGTAAAATAATACATGAAAAACAGACATATTATTCCAGAAGGAGGAGAAATAAAAAAACATGAAATGACTCGACATTTTTTTCAGTCATTCATTGGCATGATCTGCAGTCAGCTTTTACAGGGGACACCCAAAATAAAATAAAAAATTATATGACTAATAAAATTATTAAAATATTATTGAATATGTTATTGTATTTTCATATGGTCCATTTATTTGGACTTGACTGTAGAACAAAATACAAGAAAATTGTTTGTTGATCATACATACAGATGTATGTATGATCAACAATTTTATACCTTTCATTTTAACCAACAAAAGGCCAATGTCAAAATCCACAAGCAGTGCATGTTGAATCGGAACGTCCACCACACACAGTTTCGGTCATTCACGCGAATTTTGACCATATTTGTTACTGAAAAGAATGTGCCAAATACGGAGGAGAAATATGCCAACAATTTGTTTAAATGTTTTTCTTAATTGCATAAACAAGATTTAAATTTAATTAAAAAGTTAAGATATGATAAGAGTATTCTCATTTGTTTTGGGTTGATATATCACGTTCAAAATTGTGCATGTTTTGACTTCAGCCTGTCTGGTCTGTTCCGTTACTCAACAAGTAGTAAAACTTTTGAAATTATAAAGAAAAAATCGATTAATAGCAAAATTTCTCAGGTTCTGGAACAGATTAAAAAAATTTAAAGATTTTCGTTGTTTTTATAGATAAATTTTCTCCACCTAAAAGTTTTTGTAGATAACATTTCTCTATAAAAACAGTTCATATGGTTAAATTTTCTCCACAGAAAATTTGTTATTCATCAATTTTATCCAAAGAAACCCTATTATCGATAACATTTTCCTTACAGAAAAGTTGTTATCGACAACTTTTCTCTATAGGAACGCTATTATTCGCAACTTTACTCTGTAGAAACGCTTTTGTCGTTAACTTTTCTGCTGTTATGAAAAACTTTTCTATATAAAACTGTTATCGATTTTCACCACAGAAAAATTGTTATCGATAAAATTTTTACATCTCGAAAATTTTGATCTCGAAAATTTTCCCCATACAAAATTTTTATCGATAAATTTTTTCTATAGAAATAATTATATCGATAGCTTGTCTTACACGTGCATATGTTATCGACAACTGTTCTCCACAGAAAAGTTGTTATCGATCATTTTCCTTCAAAAAAGTTCATAACGATTGCTTTTCTCCTCAGAAAAGTTGTTCAGTTTTCCCTACAAAAAATTGGTATCGACAAAATTTCTCAAGAACATTATTCTCAACAACAAAATGTTATCTTCAACTTTTCTTCACAGTAGAATTATTATTGATAACTTCTTATTATTATTTTCTCAGCAGAAAAATTGCTATCGATGACTTTTCTTTACAGAAATGATAGTAACATATAAATTTCCACGTTGCAAATTAGTTTTCGATAACTTTTCTCCAAAGAAAATTTGTTATGGATAACTTTTTCCATATTTCATAGAAAAGTTGTTATCAATAACTTCAATCCATAGAAAAGTTGTTATCGTTCACTTTTCTCCACAAAAATTGTTATCGGCAAAATTTCTTTACTGAAATTTACCTATTGTTCTCCACAAAAAATTGTTATCGATCGTTGAGTTTTCTTGACAGAAAAGTTACTATCGATAATATTTCTCTATAGAAAATAAGTTATTGATGTTTTTTTTTTGCAGAAAATTAGTTATCGATAACTTTTCTCCACAGAAAAGTTGTTATAAATAACATTTTTCTATTTTTCTTTTTTTCACAGAAAATCTAAAAAGTGAAAATAACAATAACTTCACTCCAACAAAAACGTGTTATCGTTGATTTTTTCCATAGAAAAATTCTTACCGATAATATTTCTCTAGAAAGAATTTATTGACAAGCTTGTTTGTCTACCAAAAATATGTTTTCGACTTTCTGAAAGCAAGAAATTTAAAAAAGTGTTTATTTTGACCCACAGTGCACAATATTTGTATCTGTGCTCTATTCTTCTATTACAGTGAGCAAGTTCAACTTGAACTAAAATCTAAAGAAAATGTTCAATGGAAATTTGCAACAAAATACTACTTTGGATTGTCTTAAAGCAAACGTGTTTCTGCTATTGTTATTGTATTCTGGGGCGGGTAATTTCTATGAAATAAAATTACCCCTTTTATTAAGTAATTGCATTACGAGAGTATTAAGTAAATATACTCTAATGGGAGGGTATCACGGACATTTTGTAATGCCTCTACTATGTCGAATTGGCTACTCTACAGAATTGCTATTTTAAAAATATAGATCTAGAGGCCAAGGGGCAAATATCTTCAATTCATATAATTCTGACTTGATATGAGTTGAGGATAACTGTCTAGTATTTGAAACCCGAATTAGAGTCTGTTATGACATCCTAAAAATCCATTTAATAACACTTAATTTCCATCGGAATGTGATGATTCTCGACTTAACCAAAGCACGGGAAGGATATTCTTAAGGGAATGATATTCGTCTCCTCCTGAAAATGGTCCACTGGCATAATGAGGAGACACCCTGTTGCAGTTCTCAGTGCGGGGTTCTGACAAGTCTGAGTACTTATTTATTACGTAGCATTAGTATTCGCAGACCACATTGGTACCGCATAGCTGGCCACAGACTGACCTATCGCTTTTTAAGTGGTCAACAAGTTTCCTTATCTGCGCCCCTAGTGCAGCTGGCAAGCGACATGAGGACCTTCTTCACATTTTTCAATTTATCGCAAATAGCTGTGGTTTGCGCAGACAATTTAAACATGCTGTCGAATGTGACCCCTAGAATTTTATTGTAGCTGTGGCTTGTGGATTTGTATGCCCCTAGACTTGCACATTTAATGTCATTCTAATCGCCGCAGTCCATGTGGTGAATAATGTACGATAGGGCCCGACGGCACGTTCGTACAATCATTTTTTTGCTACCTGTACATCAGAAAGAATGGAAATTTTTCTGAAGAGCTGGTTGCTGAACTCTCCGAATCCTAGCCAGTTTGCTTTCCTATAGTTAAGGAAAGTGTGTCAACGTGATTTCCCTGACCCTGGGATCTGCTGATGGAGACGATTATGGGAGGGTGGTCTGAGCCAAGAGAAAAGTCGGACTACCAATTTACGTCACTTATGAAACCAGGTGACACAATGATTATGTCTGGCGAACTGTGACGTAGATGGAATGAAAAGATCTGGTTGGTGAACTCTCTGAAGCCTTGCCAGTTAACTTGCTTAATTAAAGTGCAACGTTTAGAGGTAATGAAATTGGGCACTCTACTGATGGAGGCGATTGTCGGAAGGTGGTCTGAACCAAGAGACGTCATTTATCAGACCGGGTGATACAATGATTATGTCTGGCGAACTGTGACACTCTCCCCTTATTCTGGTGGAGGCATTCTCGTTTATCTTGTAGAACGTGGAGCTATAAATTTACTGTGCCAGCACTGTTACCCTCCGATCATTACCTAGTACGAAATGCCACAACTCATGGTGGGCATTGAAATTCCCTAGTATCAGACGGTTATTGCCCTTCAAAAGGAATCTAATGTTGGGCAGATAAAACTGTTCGCAGCTATAAATCGGCGTTATATACACGTTAAGAACCTCTACCTCGGCAGTACCGCATTTTACTGCAACCCCTTAATTCCTTGTATGGGTCACTAGATTCTAACTGTAGCGAAATAGGCCTGTAATGAACAGAATTCTAAGGTGACGATGATGAGGATGTATTTTCAGATTACGTTCTAGTTTTTTTTCGCTTTATTAATAAACACCATATCAAATTGTTGATCAACACTAAAATCGTAATCAATTAGACAATAAATTGCGGCGGTATACACCTTACCTTATCACCAATCAATGGGAGACATTATAAAAAAATCAATAAAATTAAAAATTCAAATATTTCAGATTATTTATAGAGATATAATTACAAAATGTTATCGGATTCTTTGTTTATTTTATTACCTAAATAATTGTTATCAAATGCACAGTGGGGCGATTTTCACAGTAAGGTTGAAATACGAGCACTCAGTCAGAAAAGAGATTTATTGCTGATCTAAATCCATTTCGTACCTACAGATTCTAATCTGCCTCCTACAATTTTATTCTTAATATGTATTTACAGAATTTCCGCATCAAAAATTCCACCAACCTGCTGTACATATAGAAAATGGCGGCCAAAGAACAAAATGGTCGTGTGGGGATGATCAAAAAATTACGACGTTCCGCATCGGCCAGTGAACATAATATGAGTGAATTGCGAAATCGCAAATCAACACAACATCTCTTCGATCAACATGGCACACCCATAGATCTCAAACAATTTCGCAAAGTTCTAGACAAAGAAGATAATGGCAGCAACAATAATAACAGTTCGGAAAAGAAGACCAGATACAGGCGGACACAGAGTGTAACTAGGGCAGAAGAAATTACCACCAAATCGGAGAAGCAACGACTTCAACAGCCAGATAAAGGGTAAGTGGGGAAAGGGATTGAAATTTGGAACAGTTAAAAAAAACAGGCAAATACAAAATCGAGGTCGTGTGAGAGTATGGTTCCTAAAATTATGAAAATGTTTGCTTCTTGATGGTACTTTGAAAAAATTAATGGCCTGAGGTGGAAATAACATCTAATTCATGCTTGGGAAATTCAAATGCTACGGAGAAAAATTTGTAAATCTAAATAAAAATATTGTTATTTAATTCTCTTTCGAGATGAGTTACATGGTCGGAGTTGCAATGAAAAGGAAAGCCAGAGACTTACTACATTCCCACCATTATGCGACGCGTTTCGTCGTTGGTTAAACGGCTCATCAGGCATATTACGCAATGTGTCGTAACTTGATATGTAGTATTTTTGTCGAATATTGTTGCAAAAGTGCATCTATGAATTAAATTCAACCGTGTCAAGGTTCGGACATTTGGCATCGCACAGAACATCCCTTTTCAGAGCAGATTTTTTTTTTATAGTGACGGGATTTTTTTCCATACAGACTACAATATTTTTCTTCCTTAGTGGTGGCTTTATTTTCTTTTAAAAAATTTGAAAATTAACATTCTTATAAAATATTCTAATAACAACGATATAGAAACTAAACTAATTTCAGACAGGTTCATTGTGGTGCAGAAGTGGTCCATTTGAACCACAGGCCTCTACTAACTTTAAATTATTTTTATATAGAATTTTTTCTATTTTCTTTTCATTGCTCTAGCTGCCATCGTCCCAGAGACTCATTGTTCTCCTGGAGTTCTGGATTTAGTAATTTTACCGGGTTAGTTAATTGGGGTTTCCTGCTATTGACAATTGGTGGCTTCCGGTTGTGTTTAGAAAACTTATTAAAGTGAGTCGAGTTTATCAAATTTTCAAATAAAATTTTATTCAGTATATGATATATTCCCTTTTTAATCTAGATATGGCATTCGGGTAAATCCCCTGGAATGGTATATCTTTTTGAGCGGCAAAAATGAATCTGAAGGACATGCATCATTGTTTTTAATTTTATGTAAGTTTTTGCCATTTTATATATTTTTTATTTTGATTTAATAATAATGAAAATAATTTTTTTTTAATTTTTAATAAATATTTTTCCTATTTTTTCTTCCAATTACAGATTCTTTTGTACACATATCAATATGTTTACTGGTGGAAAAAGGACTAGCCATGGTAAGTAGTTTAACACAAACACAAATTTTTCCATTCAATATAATTTCCCAAATTAAAAACCAATGAGCCTAGCAGTATAGCCGACCATATGATACCCTAAACAACTACCACGGAACTTTTAACTCTTTGTGGATCTATATTCCGAGCCAGGGCAATATTTGCATCCACTTTCTTACCCTGGCATATTATCGGAATGTTTTTTCTCCCGGGGTTAACATTTACGCCATAAGATCTTTTATTTTTCATTTTACACAGAAAGTTCTGGGTTGACTTGACAAGCTGAATATTGATCCATCAAAACATCCATTCTAATTAGTTGGCCAGATTCCCTTCCCCATGTGACGCGTGTTTTTTATGTTCCCCTTATTATTATGGCCTATAGAGCGATTTTAAAAATCACACAAAAAATAAATTTTTGGTCCATTTCATCTGATTCATTCAATAACATCTGATCATTTCCGAAAATTATAGGCGTCGTCCTTGACCATAACCGGAACTTCGTGAAAAATTTTAAATCGATCAGAACGAAATATATGCCCTCTAGTGTGGTAATGGTAATCAGAATATGTAGATCTCTGTAAATAATCACTCCCACAACTCCCACATCCAAGTACATACAACAATATAGTTGGTATCAATTTTAAGGTCAACCACTCCTATCAACTTCTCGGGTCGACATCCTTCAGGAATAATTATATACGCCATGGAATACAAATGTTGTCAGAATCTGATGATGGACATCTACAGGCCTCTAGCTTCAAATTGTTGAAAGCTCCCTCAATATCGAAGAACGCTGCCAAGGTGTAGCCGGAGGATTCCTTATTCTTCTCGATGCGTCCAACCACGTCGGGTAAAGATGTATCAACTGATTTGCCTTTGATGTAGGCATACTGGGAGTTGCTAATTTTATTTTGGTCAATAGTATCCCTAATTTCTGAGTTTGGTAACGTTTCTCAAGTCTTGATTAGAAAGGAAAAGAGACTAATCGGTCTATAGTCCTTTGGTAGCGTATGACTCGGCTTTCGGGATGAAGGTCACTGTTCTTTCCATAGACTATGTATGACATCGCCCTAAAAATGTCTTGCAGAGAGTCTAATACTCGTTGATCTGCGTTTTACAGCTTGGCCGGTATTATACCATCTGGGCCTGGAGATTTGTAGGGTTGAAAAGTATTTATCGCCCACACCAGTTTTGGGTAGCTTATAGTGTTTTCTATCAGCTCCTTCTCCTCCCTCGTTCGAACCCTATGCCGAGGCGCACACTGCACATCCTCATTATGGTCCTTACAACCAGTGATGTGGGTTGATTATAGAAGATCGAGAGTCTCACTACCAGAGTTTGTGTTTAGATAGTACTCTGAGACTCACTATAGCAGACCCAAGACTCACGATTAGCCTTCTTGATTTTATTCGTGTACCTTTTGAACTGTTCTCCATAAACGTCTTAATTTGTACTGAGTTTTGTCTTAAATGCTTTCCTTGCAGCATTCCTCAAGGATGCAAAGTTTTGTGACCACCATACTGGCTGAGATCCCTTCCCAGGGTATGTTAAAGGATATAAAGCTTTGTTAAAGGATAGATCTAGGATTGAGGATGCCGGTTTGGCTTTGAATTTGTCCCAGTTTGTCTTCCGAGGATTCCTATAAGGCTTCTGTTTACCTCTGTAGGCAGGAATTTGAAAAAATATCAGTCTTTGGCCCGAAAATGAGCATTTCTCAGATACTTCCCAGTTCATAACCCGAGTCGTCTGATGGCTTCACATCTCAATCTATTAACGAACGTTGGTGTATTGCCATTATTACATATTCTAAGATTATAACTAAGTATAAAATCAAAAATGGACTCAACTTTCGTGGAAGTGATGTGTGTTGGCATCACAACCGATGATAAGATCATCAGCGCTGCTCATCTCCTCCATTCGGCGGTGTACATCAACACCGGGCGGGTCAGGCTCCTCGTAGGGGATATAGACAGCAGAGACTATCAAGTATCTCGAGTTACCCCTATCTAGCCTGACTGTCGTCATATCACCATTGTTGAAATTAGAAGCATTAAGTTAAGTTATTTTTTTGGCTAGAATACACGTTTTTGCCTTCTCCCACGTGGAGGCGGTCAAGATCGTGTATTTTTTATCACTCAAATCAGTCACCTTATCTTTGTAGAGATACGGTTCCTGGATGAGCGCAATGTGAGAAGCAGTTGCTGCTCTACAGTGATGCAGATTAATCTGCACCACATTTATCGCTTGCTGCTGTCTGCTTATTGTTATAATGGCGAGAGACCGAAATTTTCTCAAATACTGAACGAAGGATCTAGCTCTGTAACGTAGGCAATAAGAAAACATCGTAAACATCACTACTGCACTGTTGAACTGTTATACAAGGGTCATTTTATGCTCTAAGACCCCTACAGTCCAATGGGGGCCACTATTAGATCTATAGTGCAGAATGCCGGACCGTTTTACATGCTTTTGGTATTTTTTGAGCTTGGTTACTCCCATGAATATAGGCCAACATATCCCAAAAAAATAAAATGAAATAATAGGTATATCAAATAAGCAAAATAGGAATATCATTTGCGTATTTCAAACATTGATTTATCTGACTGATATTGTATGATATTGGAAAAATCTATCGATGTCTTGTTTCCCTCGGACTATAGATAAACGACTACGAATCCCAATCAATAACTCAGTCGATTGATCAATGTTTTCCATATATTTCTTGTTTAATTTTGTTATTGCAAAGAAGTCAGTTGTAATCCCAGTTTGTTTTTATAAAAACTATTATTAATTAGTAGGAAAAGTATGGCATTGTCCACCAAGGGGTAAGTAAGGGGTAACCCTCCCACACTACTATTTTTGTTTAATTTATTTCATGGTATAATAATAGAAGGTAACAGCAAGTGTTGTTGTACAAAAAACGATACAACAACCACATGGAAATTTGTTGTTGTAAGTTCTACTAGTGTCAACTCATTTGACAGAAAAATGTAAACAAACAAACAAATTATCATCAAATTACTTTTAATTTTTAAAATGAAATATTTTCGAATCCTCAAAATAAAAATTGGAAAACATGAATGAAAATCTATCATATTTATATTTCTATCGCTTCCACATCTTTCCTATAATTGAGCCATTGCCATATATATGTGTAATACATATGAAAATGCTGGGAATAACGTTATTATTAAGTTATTCCTTGAAGAAAGATTTGCTTCCTCAAACTTTCCCAGCAGGCAGATTGACTAAATTGAATACAGGAGCACATTTAATAAAGAACAATTTCAAATTGTATACGTTCCCAATTTTCCGGTTGGGTGATTTTTAAAACCATAATTTGTCAAATTCATATTGACACTAGTATTACGTTGGAATCAAATCAGCTGGGATTTGCTGTTACCTTTTATAATTGTACCATGAATTTATTTCATAATTTGTGGTCTGCATTTCAAAGTAGTAAATTTTTTCATGATTTCTAAAGCAAATTTTCGTCCCCAAAGAAATTTGCCCACAAAAACATTTTTTGAAAAACAAATAATTATTTGGCTTTCGCATGATTTTGAGAAAAAACTCAAATCTATACTGTATATTTTTAATACAGAGTTCAAGGCTATAATTTGTACTGCATCCATCACACAATTGTGATAACGCATAGCATTTAATATTAATAATAATCATAATGTTTGTCCATATTATTATTATTTATCAGCGCGCAACTACGTGCGGATTGGTTTGATTCAAGTTTTATTTAAAAGTGCTATCAAAAACACGAGTTGTCCGAAAATGAATTTGAGTCAACAGTCAAATGTGGTTATAACGACCCACCAGCAAAAATAATATTTTTGTGAATAGTGCCGGGGATTGTGTATTGGGTTATCTATATAGACTTGGGATCTTTAGATAGTACTATGAGAAATCTGGCCGTTTAGTTAACTACTTCGATTGACGCACTATAGCAGACCCAAGACTCACGTTTAGCCTTCATGATTTCACTCTTGTACCTATTGAACTGTTCTCTATAAACGTCCCCATCTGTACTGAGTTTCACCTGTTCGCAGCTTTCTTCCATTGTTCACAGCTTCCTAAACATCCTCAACCGTTATGAGATCTTGATGACCTAGGATTGAGATTCTGTTTTGGCTTTGAAATTGTCCCAGTTTGTCTTCCGATGATACCTATAAGGTATCTGGACCTCTAAACCAAAAACTTCATATTCTTCCGACTTGGGAGAAAATAGAGCTAAAACCTTAGAAATACGCAACAAAAGTGGAGTCTTAACCTTAACAAATTTATAAAGCCGAAAGGAGGCCATGTTCAAAGTGGGACACCCACTTAAGCCAGTGAAAGGTATGCGGAGCGCTCTGGAAAAAGCATTTTCAAATTGATCTCCCTATTCTGTGTTCTTAGCAAATTTCTTCAAGAATTGGATTCGAACGTTTCGGTATCTTCTCCCGCGAATTTACCTATGACTCCTTAGAATTTCACATTGATATATATTTTTTATGGTTCGTGTCTCTATCCTGTTCAATTTTATCCTTAATTTTTATGTGCATTATGTATGTGCTCATAATGGTTTAGGGTATAACGTGATCCGAACTCGTTTAGTATTACACAGGGCTGAATTTCTTATATACTGATTAAAACTTTTTCTTGGGTTAAAGGCATTGTGTAGAGATTATTGTTTTTTTATTTATTGAGAACAAAAATTAATTTTTGTCTTAAAGAAAGCTGTAAAAAATAAAATAAAAATAGGACATTTTACTTACCACCGTTATATCCAAACTTCGAATGAATCATTGCAAACGGTTGTTTGAGATATGAATGTTGCATTTTGGTTTGCCTACAACAATATTTATTAATGCTTATACTTATTAGGTTAGGTTCTCCTCTCAAGCATTCATGACTTTTATAAAGTTGCATACAAAAGTGAGAGTATTTCTCTACAAATAGTTTTAAAAAAGTACAAAAAATATTATTAATCAATGATTTCGGTGTTTTTGGCGAAAATAGAAAATAACAATGAAATTTAAATTAGAAAATAAAACTGGAACATTCAAAAGTAGTTTATGTGGGGTGTAATAATAGATAAACTTACAAAAAATAATTTAAAAATGTTAACTTAAACTATGCGCACGCCATACTGATCGCAATATTTTTGCAAAGCTTGTTTGTGATTATCACCAATGGCGGTGACAAGTTGAGGAATTTCACCGGGACGTGTTTGGGCCAATTTGGCCAGAGAATCAGCCAAATATTTGCGTCCATCTGCAACATCGGCCAAAAAGTCTTGAGTTTTTGGTTGGGCAAAACTCAATTGGGAGAATGCTGCCTGATAGCCTGAGCTTTCATCGGGTTCAATGAAATTCTCACCCTCTGTATTGGTCTTATCTGGTGGCAATTCGAAAAGTTCTACCAATGCTTGTAGGAGACGTGACCAATATTGATTGTATGGTGGCGCTAACATGGCAGGACATTCACAAAGTATTTTTGAAATGCCAACAGCAACTGTTTTACGTTCCAATTCATTTGAGACTTTAGCCATGTCTGGAATGAAAACACGATCGACAACCATGCCAAACATATTTGCCTGAATTTGATCGATAAGTTCTACCAAGGCGGGGGCACCAATCTTGGCAGCATAATAACAGAAGAAGACAATAATGCATTTGACATATTTTGTGGTTTTCGACAACGACAAACGTTGGAACAGCAAGGCAAATATTTGACGAATACTAGCTTGCATGGCATTTTGTGGATAATAGGCCAAGAGATTCTGCAGCAAATTGAAACCTTCATGATCGTTGGCCTTGGAGGCAATCATTTTTTGGAAGATACCCAAAATAGCGTTCTAAAAGAAAGGGAAAATACATTTTTAGATTAGATTTCCTAGAGTTGAATTTTTTGAATTGAAACTTACCAATTTATCCATGGCTGCAATTTGTGCGGCACCCTGTCTAATGAAGGCACAAAGCAGACGAATGAGAGGACTAATATTACCCGAACGATCCCATAGTGGTGGAGCCAAAAGACAGGGGAATAGAGCCCAATAGGGTTCGGGTATTGCTCCACTGCCTTCACGTATCTCCAAAAGCAAGGATAGCATTTGGAACACATAAGGCATAAATTCCAATATATCCTGCTGCAAAATTCCTTGGAACACGGGGAAGAGAACTTCTTCGAAAGAGCTTACGGCGGCGGCCTCTGTTTTGCACACAATTCTGGGGGAAGAAAGAATAGAATTTGTAACGAAATCTTTAAAATTGTGGTTCAAATTTCTACTTACTTTATAGCCAATGACAGGGTCTCAAAGAGATAATGATTGAAATGAGGCCTGGAGGGATTTTTGGCCACCATGGTAAGAATTTCTGTTAGTCGGGGCAATGCAACGGCCATAAAAGGCATGGAGTGTTCTTGCAAGGAGTTAAAACTACGCATAATTGCCTTCATAACATATTCATTTTCCGCCGATCCAGGCAGCGAGAGAGTGGCAAATAAACCACCCAACAAATCATTAGCCACGGGAGCCAGATGTTGGGGACCAATGCTATAAAGAAATATAATTTGGTTAAAGGTTGTTTTTTTTTAGTTATTGTTGTGGGGCTTACAGCAAAGCACCAGCAGGATCTCTCATGGTGAAAATTCTCTCCAAGGCACAGGCAGCATAGCTGTGTACCACCACACTTTCTGCTGGCAAATGGCGGATCAAATGTGGCATGGCTGCAAGTAAAGTTTGTTGGCCCAACAAACTACGGAATACCATTACGAATTTCAAGGCAGCGGATTTCAATACGGAGAGTTCATTGACTACGGAAAAGAAAATGAAAAGTTGTAGTAATTAATATTAGATTGTAGTTTTAGATAAATGCAAGTAATTTTAATTCAATATTAAAACTTTGTCCCAACACTTACTATTTGGTCTCTCCAATTCCGGCATAATATGCTGAGCACAGAACTGTGGCAATGGCACCAATTCCGATGCCTGGGTAATACCATGTTTTTGGGTACCACCACGTGATGCAAATGAAGTTACCAAATAAATAGCCGTATCCTTGGCACGCCAATTCGTAGCGGGATTTTCCTTGTACTTTACCAACAAAATTTCCAAATATTGACCAAAAATACCAAAGATTTTCGCTTCAAAATTTTGTGATAATGTCTTGACCAAATCACAGGCGGCACGACGTCTCGTATCAATGTCAGAACCCTCAATATCACGTCTTATATACTCCTCAGGACTATCCTCAAAGAGTTCCTCATCCGATTGACGGAAATCCAAATTGGGTATGACAACATTTTTACAAATGTTGTCCAAAATTTCGGGATTTTCGAATATCTTACGGTAGTGGGTACGTTCCGCAACCACCGAAAGGAATTGCAAAGCATTGGAAACCAACTAAAAGACAAAAAGTATTAAAGTAAATTTTCCGTTTGCTTATAATTTTTTCCCAACTTACCGCATCATATTTCGTTTGCATGCCAGTCTTAACCAACAACTCCCAAACAGCTGTGACAAATGTTTGCATATAGGGGGCAAATTCTTCATCATATTTCTGGGCATACATGCCAATATTTTCACATACTTGTGAACGCAATCGCTCCAAGACACCAGCATCTTCATCATCACCCGTGTGCAAACATGGCACATCAACGGTCAACAATTCATGAAACGAGTTCATCCATGTTGCCATATTATCCTCAAAGAATTCGGGTAAATCTTGTGAATTCAACGAATAGAATACCTTGCAAACCAAAACCAACGATCCGTAGATAACCTTTAAGGCCTCCACGTTGTTTTCATGAACTTTGGTCAATTGCATTGTGGCCAATAGCAAATCGGTCAACGGTTTAGCCATACGATCTAATACCAATTTAATTTCTTCCCACAAATTTTGTGATTTAAATTCATAACGATAACGTTTGAATAGGGAATGAGCGGTTTGCAACACACCATTGATGACATTGAAATCGCCAGTGGCGAATTTTTCAACCATTTCATCGATGAGTTGTGGCCATTTCTTGGGGAAATCATGTTTACCAATAATACTGACAGCATCACTGAGTTGTTTTTGCAGTGCTGGTGGCGAGCGTAACATAAGTGTTACAATCAGCGTTTTGATGGTATTACGATCATCGATGTGTATTTTATCGGGTGTATCAGAATCCTGCAAAAAGAAAAAATGAAAATATAACATTTGTAACAATTTCCTGGCATTGAGAACTAGAAAATAACAGCCTGTTTGGTTGAAAAATGTGGGTATGAACGGAAAAATGCAATATAGGAAGTGTCTTTAATAAAAATTGGACTCAACTATAAAAAATTTGGACTTTTTTAAACATTATTTTATAGAGGTATAACCAAAGGTTTAGATGTTTTAGCAAAAGCGTCATATTTTTAAAAAAATATTTTTTGAAAGCCTTCCAAAGCCGTGGATTTTTAAAAGAATATTTTTTAGAGTTCTATCCAAAGAGATTCATACGGAATATTTTTTGTAGATTGTGTAGATTTTAATCAATTATTGTTTAAGAGTCTATTAAACGCGTCGGCTTTTTAAAGACTTTTCGAAGGCCTAGCAAAGAAGTATATTTTTAAAGGCCTATTAAAATTGTAGATTTTTTAAAGAATATTTTTTGTAGGCCTAGCGAAGCAAACGACTTATTAGAGATTATTTTTTAAGAGCCTAGCAAAGTTATCATCTTATTAAGGACAATTTTTTTAAGGCCTATTAAGGCGTTGAATTGCTTAAAAATATTTCGTGAAAACCTATAGGCGTCGAATTAAGAAATATGTTTAAGATCTATTAAAGGTGTTGAGTCGACTTATAAGGAAATATTTTTAGCGCCTTTGAAAAACATCGATTTTTAGAGGAATATTTTTTTGAAGTCTTAGCCAAGGCATAGACTTTCATGACATTTTTTTATTAATATTTGGCTAAGTCTAGTTTAGGGCCCCCAATAGCTAATAGCTCAGGCCATTGGATGACTGACATCACAAATATAGCGGAGGGTCAATGCAATATTATGTCCTGATCTAGAAAACTATTCTTGAAAGTTACAATGGAGTGGTTTACTTTTTAGCTTAGCTCCCAAATTTAGGTATTTTGGATAATTTAGGCCCAGTTTTTTATATACGCCATCATACCTTCGTCAAGTATCAACTTAAAAACGCTACTTGCTGAACCAAACATAATACGCCTTGTTGCATAGGCTGTTGGATCTGAAACGTTTTCAAATATGGTATAAATCGATGATCTACCTACGATTTTGCCTTCGTTGAATGTTTACCATAAAGTCCCATCAGCAGCTATTTCGTTATAAAGGTATGTATCAATTACTTCAAAACCCTTTTTTCGGTTTCAGAGTCAGAAATAATTCTGGCTCTTCATTCATTAGGATCTTCCATCTGCGTTTTCAGAATCAAAGAAAACACTACCTCTTTCTCTGTTAGAAGCTATATAACAATGATTTTTATCTTCACTGCTTAAAGATTCCTACAAAAATGTTAATATTAGCCAACTTTTAGGGTAGCTCAAAATCTAACGGAACCTCAAAAATCTAGGTATTTTATTTGGCCTCATTTTTGTTACCAAATTTAGTATTTTGAATAATCATTGGGTGGAAAAATACCTTTGTAGAAAGTAATGAATATTGGCCCAGGTTTCGGGATATGACCATTTTATTGTGCCCCTTAAAATTTTCGATATTTTAAGCACTTTTTTTCAATTTGATATTCTAGGTTATCCTTGGATGTTAAGTCATCCATAAACAAGTCTGGATCGGCGGAGGATATAAAAAGTTCTACCCGGGGACTTAACAAAGTCTTTACTTATTTCTAAGTCAAATTTAGGGATTAAAGCTTCCATATAATTTCACTCCATTTTAATGAGATACAAAAAATGCTTTCTATTATGATTTTAAATTTTTATGGGGAAAATCCATAGAAAAATTCGGGGTGAGCCCTTAAACTCCACATAAGCCTCGGCAGATATTTTTCTTTTAAAGTTCAATTATTCTGTATGGTCGGAAAAACTTCTACTATTAGGCGTGTTAAATTCTGACATGTCTCTTGGAAGCTTTTGCACGAAAATTTACACGTATCCCATGTTAATTATGCCAAAAATTATCCTCCATTTAATGGCCAACTCCACTTGCTTCCAAATTTCAAGAACAAAGAAAAATTTCTTCATTTCAACACTTCCCGCCATTTGTGAGCGTTACCCCAAGCCGAACACAGAATCCTATCCTGGCAAATTTCACTAATTCTCCCAATATACAAATAACACCGATAAAAACAAAAACAACTCCAAACCAACATACCTCATTAATAGCCCAATTACGTTTAATATAATTTTTAAATGCGATGGAACCAGCCACTCGTATTGTCATATCAACTTCTGGCTTGTCGATGAGATTTAGCAGAAGCACAGCATAGTTGCGTTGGGCCTCAGTCGATTCCAGTAATTTCTCAGCTGTAAGAAAAAGAAAAAAACGAACACGCGAATATTTTAGAAACCATTTCGGTTTTAAAGGAACTATTTTTCCGAAAAATACTACTCACCAGGTCTTCGTACATTTGGATCTGGACTTAGTGTTTGCTGCAAATAACCGGCTAACAATTGCAAATTCTCATTATTTACTTCCATTATGAAATTTGTTGTTGTTCTTTCTTGTTCGCTGTTGCTGTGTGGTTTAATTTATAAAATGGACGTTTTCTTCTTTCGTGTTGTTCGTTTTTTTCTTCTTTGTTTTATATTAAATGCTATTTATTTATAATGTTTTGCAATTTTTCCAAACGTTTGTTTCGCCAAAATTAAAATTCCTTTGCAAAAATTGTACTGAGCTAACGGGAGAACGTGAGTTGCGGCAAATGAAATGAAAATGCCTCAACTTGCTTTGATGTTAATGATTACTTGAGTATGTAGTGAGTAATCGAGTACTTAACGGTAGAAAGGGTATGGCGTTTGGGGAATTAGTTGATAACGTAACGTAATGGTATTTTGTGGTAGAGCGATTGTGGGGGTTTTGGAGGTTATTACTTACGTAGATTGAAGTGACGCATAAATCAGGGTTATTTATTGAAATATTTGTTTTTTTTTAACTTTTATTTTCAAATACTTTATTTTGATTGATTCGACATATTTTTAAATAAAAAAATAAACAAAGGTTGTGATAGAAAAGAAATTTATATTAAAAAATGGCACCTCAAGTTTTCTTATTCGGTCTCACAATGTCCTTTAGATTTTTCAGTCGTTAAATTTTTTTAAAAAGAATCCTTCAGCGTTTGATTTTTTGTTTAGAAGATTTTAAGAAGCCTGAGTGGTTTTCTAATTTTAGAAGATTTCTAGAAGGTCTTCTACATTAAAATTACATCGTTGTTGACTTTAACATTTCAGTGTAGTATTTTTCTAGAAATACTTTAAGGAGACTACTAAAAGATTTGGTTGATATAAGAGGACCTTTATGAGAGTCTTTTTTAGAAGATCTTCTGAAGAAGAATAGGATTTCAAAGACTTTTAACTTCGATTTTTATCAGAATCACGGGCTATTGTGATTTCATCAGACGGATATGACTATGACAGCCAGCTTACAACATTCCTAAAGGGGATCAATGGCAATAACTACAGTATGCAAAATTCGTATTCGTACACCCACTAAAAACAAAGCATTTTCGAAGTATTCAGTACTAATGTGACTATACGTCCTTTTTTAAAGGAAAATCATCTACTTCTACTGGGTGTCATCTATAAAATATATGTCCACTATTTCTATAATCTGTTATCTTTATACATCTATATTTTTAAAACCTTGATCAATATTTATTTTAGTGGAGTCGTATAGAAATGCCTTGGAGTCCTTTTAAATCACATTTCTTATAGTCACCTTTATGACCAAAGGGTTGTTAAATTGAAAACTTTTGGATATTGAGTTTAGTGACACTATTGGTCGTTTTCAGAACCTTTAAGAATCTTCTATTAGTAGAAATTATTTTCGAATTTAAAATACCGTCAAAGCAATAAGTCCCAATTTAGATTAGGCGAGTTTACTTTCGGCAAGTCTTTGTTTGTTGGAGAGAGGGGCAAGGGGTATGGAAATGAAAAAAAAAAATTGCTCGTACCGACAATTTTTTGGCAATTCCTTTTGTGTATTTCGTATTTGTTGACATTTTATATAAATTTAAATGTGAAAAAACAACAAATAAAAAAATATTTTGGAACCCGAATTGCCTTGTATAGACGCATGGAGCAAGTTCAAAAGAGAACGATAAAAATTGCCGCAAGTAAACTCGCCTAATATACAGTGGTGGTCACAGAATTAAAACATTTACTGTGGTAAACATATATCGATCAGCCCTCGATTAGTTTGAAGTATTTTTGAAAATTTTTTCATTCAGAACACTTCGATATACTGCACTTAAGAGATTTAGTGTGAAAATAGAAAATTTTTGCATGCAATTTTTCCATAAATAACGGTTTTTATGAAAATACCTCGACTTTGAAGTGGCCATATAATTAAAACATTGTGTGGGATTTTTTACTTTACTGCATTTATTGAAAATATTTTTAGAAAAGCTCTTTAATTTACTTAAATTATGTAAACTAAGCACCGATAAAATCATGTACAGATACAAATTTTTGAAAAAAATCTGTAAAATCTATCAAAATTGCCAACAATTTGTACAGTACACCTTACGTTCAGAAAATCACCCTTATTATAGAAAATAAAGGTCCGAATGCACCAGAAATTGCTAGAATTAGTAGAAAATAATTAATAATTCTCAAATTAAAGAAATATTTGAAATAAAAATTCAAAAAATTGGAATTAACCTAAAGGAACGATTCAATTTCAATAGTCTTTACTGAAGAAGGCCGGAATATTTTTGCAGTATGTGAGAAAAAAATCGATTGATATTGGTATTTATTATATCAAATCGACTGTTCGAGTAGTAGAGAATATATTTTATCAAAAAATATATCTGTCAGAACAGAACGAACAGAGATAAACGCCTAGGTTGACGGGTAAAAGTTTCTGGCACACAGCAGCATTTTTGATGTTCAACACAAGACTTCAAATATTTGTCAAACTGTAAAATTTTTACTTCCTTGATACTAAAATAGATTAATGCCATGTACAGACGAGCGTTGTTCGCTCTCTCATTCGTTGTTCGACCCTTAATTATGAAGTAATTACTTAGTTCCCCATACAAAATTGTCTGAGCGAACACCGACTTTTGTACGTTGTTCAATTCGAATCACTCTCTGAATCACCAAGAAATTTGTCCCATCCCTAACAACTGAGAGCATTTATCGAAAATAAATTAATTTTGACAGCTTGAAAATATTTATAAAATTTTCAAACATTTTTGGTAATATTGAAAATGATGAATGAAAAGTAAAAAATTGTCTAGTTTTTATATATGCAGCAGGATGTAAATTTTGTTATCTACATAATGCAATGTGAATTTCTTTCCCCATGGTTCCAATTAGCGTACAAAACAAGAAACACATTTGGGGACACTCAAACAAAAAATTCTCCAAATTTTTATATGTGACATTTGAATTTAGAAAATATAAAAATGTATAAAAACAACAATACTTTCAGAAAAAATGGAAAACATGAATTAAAAGTAAATAGATATCGGTTCATACTATAGTCAGGAGAAAGAGAATTAATTTTTCTATTTAGATCCATATGTGATTCATGTAAATATGTTAGAATTTTGCCGTAAAACAAGAAACAAAAAGTTTGAAATAAAAAACTCTGATGACATGAATTAGGAATAGTGTTGTATGAACGGGTTAATTCATGTACGTAATTCTGAGAGCGAACTACGTTGTTCGAATGCCCGTCAGAACATGGCATAAGTGGAAGTTATTCGAATCAAAAAATATTATTTTGGAAAAATATTGTCATGTTCAATAGATTTTAAGGGTCAAGAGTTGACCATCAAACATGCTGCTGTGTGCCAGAAACTTTTACTGGTCAACCTAACAACAAATCTTTTCCAGAAGATATAGTCCGATTTTTTTTTAGTTTTTGAATCTGTATTTCCTTATTGACGCCTATAATATATGGTTTTCTGAAAGTTTTTAAACTCCAGCTTCTGAAAACATCATTAAATCATCACTGAGCCGCCACCATGCTTGAATGTGGGAATGAGATTATAACGAGATAAGATCGTATTGTTATCTCGCCATTTTATTACGGGTCCATCCGATTTCTTTTGTATTGAGTTTGGAATCATCCGTAAAAAATAACTCTGTTCCAGAACACGAATTCCAAGGTCCCGTTCCAAACTTTCAGCCAGTTTTATGCCACTTACAGAAGGATTGACGACGTAGAAATGAGCAGTGCATTCTTGGGAACTTGGAATGGTTCAAATTTCGTATCGATTTTTTAAAAATTCTCCACTTTTTTTGTAACTGGATACGACATATTGTATTGTGGGAACACTAGGTTTATTTTTTTTTTTTTTTTTTTGTTTTTTGCATTCTACCGTAAGGATTTTAAAGTAATATGCAGATCCAATACAATTTTTCATTGTTCGTCTGAAAGTTTCCTATGTCATTTATATTAAGTTCTCTAACTAAGACGCCTTCATGATTGCTAAGATTTCAGCCTGAAAGACCATTTTCGTTAACCTTATATGATCCTCAGAACATACTATCTTCTTAATTGGAAGTTAACCAAATGGGTTCAGTGGTTGGAGTTTAAGAATTACGTTCAAAGCAGCTTGAGGTGTACTGCTGAGGGCATCAGTTTGTAAGAAGCTTTGTCAATCGCTGCACACCTGCCACCAAATAAGAAAACTATAGTTTAGTATAGGAAGAACTTCCGTCTTGTATAGCAATTTTACGATTTCTGGTTTCCCCAGCTCTTTCCTATCGAGTTTTTGTAAGAGTAAAGTGGTACTGACAAGTTTTTAAACCAGTGGCTTTTGTCTGGTCCGTCGTAGGTCCTTATAAAGTGCAATTGGTCTGTATAGAGACAATAGGTATTTATAAATATCAATTGATCTATATAGAGGACAACAATTTTTATAAATAATCTTGATTAATCATGTTAATAAAATACATTCTATTAATATTTTAATAAAATTAATTTCTAGGTATCTGTGTCATTACAAAAGTATAAAATATGGGTTTTCTTAGGAATGATGTGTCATCACATTTAATCACAATGATGAATTATCATCCAAATAACTTATTTTCCATCTAACTTCCGAAATAGTTTGAACGCTATAATAACCTCACACCACAATTATGTCTGCATTAAAATTTTAATTTATTTATTTCTTTTCAGGAAATTATATCTGAAGGCTTAGGCATGTTTATGCAGGTGACAAACATTATTGTGGTTGTTGTATTACCAGTGATAATAATGCACTTAAAGGGACATCTCTTCAGTTTAAGTAAGTCCACAAGATTCCTATTTAAAATATTGTAAATGTTTAATAATACAATCTCTCTTTCTAGTGGGTGCATCTACAGTTTGCTTTTTCTATTCCATATTATTTTTGAAATTATGGAGTTATGTTCAAGTGAATATGTGGTGTCGTGAAACCTATCACATGAAACAATATAAGCCTAGGGTGCGACGACCCAGTATAACATTGGCTCAATTGAGTAAGTTTGAGAAATAGAAGGATTTCGATTTTTTTCGAATTGTTCTAATTTGAATTATTACTACTTTTACAGAAAATGGCACCTTGGTTGATGACGAAGAAAAAGATGAAGATGTCCCCGTGTTAGTACAATATCCCGATAATTTATGTTATAAAGATATTATTTACTTTTTGGCTGCACCCACACTATGCTATGAGCTGAATTTCCCCAAAACAACCCGAATTCGTAAACGTTTCTTGTTGAAACGTTTATTGGAAGTTATTATTGGTGTTAATGTGGTTATGTCACTGTTCCAACAATGGATAATTCCATCGGTAAAGAATTCGTTAATACCATTTTCACGTATGGAAATTGGTTTGGCCACCGAACGTCTACTGAAGCTGGCTGTAAGTTTGAAGGGAATTGTATTTCACAATTTATTCCAAATTTCAATGGTATTTCATTTACTTTTTTCAGCTTCCCAATCATTTAGTGTGGTTATGTTTCTTCTATTTGACATTCCATTCATTTTTAAATGCCACCGGTGAAATATTGCATTTTGCCGATCGTAATTTCTATAACGATTGGTGGAATTCAAATAATATTGACACATTTTGGCGAACATGGAATATGCCAGTTCATAGGTAAGAGAATTGGAAAAAAAATTTTAACTGTAGAAGTGTACTCATGTTTTTGATTTCATTTGATTTTAGGTGGTGTGTTCGTCACTTGTATATTCCTGTGGTTAAAATGGGTTACTCCTCGAGACAGGCCTCAACTATTGTCTTTTTAATCAGTGCTTTCTTCCATGAGTACTTGGTAAGTTTAGGGTTTCATAAATATAATTCTCTCCTTTAGAGACCAAAGGTCTTTATAACATGCTGTAACTAAACATGCTTTAGGTGTACTAGCCTACTTTAAATCTTAACATAATAGTGCAACAGCATGCTATGTACACAACGTCCATGCTTAATATATATAAAATCATCCATAAAACTATGCCCCGAAAATAGATTTATTAAAAAGGGCAATGATGTCTTTATGAAGACCAACTGGTTTGAATACAGACCAAAGGTCTTTACAAAGACCAACTGGTCTGCATAGAGACCAAAAGTCTTTATAGAGACCAAATAATCTTGATTAATCATGTTAATATAAACCATTTTACTAATATTTCAATTAAATTTATTTCCAGGTATCTGTGCCATTACAAACATATAAAATATGGGCTTTCCTCGGGATGATGGGTCAAATTCCTCTATCAGCCATATCGAAAGCGGTGGAACGTGCATTGGGGCCACGTATGGGCAACATCATTGTATGGGCCTCGATTATTTTAGGTCAACCCCTATGCATTATGATGTATTATCACGATTATGTTATAACACATTATACCGACTCCTTGAATAATAGTACCATATATGTATAACAAAAAAAAAGCTTTACAAAGATAAAAATTCCATTATTCAATTATTGTATTTTATATCGAATTTTTTCTTGTTATTTGACTGGTACTTATAGATATCATTTAAATATATACAATGGCCCAGAAACCCGATATGCTTACACCTATGTATATGAAGAGATTTTTATCGTAATTTTGTGTTGAATATTCGCGATAAAGTACTATGGAACATGATTATAAAAAAATACTTGATGGAATGAATGAAAATATTTATTTTTGAAATAGACAATTTTTTTTTTAAATTAAACAATTAAAAATAATTCCTTATAATTTGTGGTTCCTAATATTTCAAAATTCTTTATAGTCATGTTCATTTTTATATACATATACAAATATATATGTTTTTATTAAGTGATGAGAAGAACGTTAATTGTGAAAATCACAATTGATTTTTATTAATTTGCATTTCTATATTGTGGCATTTTATTGAAAATGAATTTTAATAGTAGGATTTAGATTTCTTTTGAAATATCCTTAAATAATTATATGTTTTTTATTGCTAAAAAACATTTGTTTCATATTTTTTGTACAAAATTTATTTGTAAGAAATAAAATAAACTATCAAACGGTTGTAAATAAATAATGTTAATAACTTTTTTATAAATTACATTTGTTTAATTTGAATAATTGCACTGTTATTATCTCGTTATAATCTCATTTCCACGTTCAAGCATGGGAATGGTATGGGTGTGTTTTTTCTGGAGCTGGTGTTGAAAAAAATTCACTTTGTGGATGGTATCATGACGGCAAAGGAATATATAATCATATTCAAGCAAAACTTGAAGCAAAATACAGTTTTTCAACAGGATCCCAATGATTCCATACATACTGCTTCCAAGCAGAATGCTCGCGTTGAGCCATCCGTCGCGTTATATGTTATCGAAAATACAACAACCACAAGGAAACGATATTCGTTTGTGTTATCGTTTGTGCGCTGCGCTTCGGAGTTAAATATATTTTAACTTTTTGCGTGCGTTAACGCGATAACAAAAAACGCTCAACGCGAACATTCTGTTTAGCCCTTTAAGATTGTGATCCTCTATTGACCATCTGTGGGCAAGATTTTTATATCAGGAGAGCCGATTAAAAAATCCAATCCCCTAAAAACAGACACTTATGGTCTGTTCCCGTACTGCAAGGGAAAGGAAAATTTGTAATGGTAATAAAAAATAGTAAATTGCTGCAGTACGGGATCAGGCTATTATTTTCATCTTATATCCCCCTTATTTTTTCTTCTCTTCTTTTTTTTCATTTCAAGTACTCAGGATGGGCACAACCAAAAATCCGTTACCTTCATAATTACCGCAAAAATGATAACTAAAAAAGTGAACAGACAACCCCTATATCTATTTATCGATAAGTCAAAAATCGATTTAGTTATCCCTTTGTATCGCTTGTACACAATTATTCGTTCCGTCGTCTGTCTGTGAGAAAATAACTTTGTTACCGCAAAAAATATTAATTTTGCAATTGAAATACCCCAACTAGTAGCTTCAAAGTCAAAAAATTCCAATTAAAATATTCAACAGCGTTAAGTGAGTTAATAATTTATTGAAATAAAGTGATAAGTATTGAGAAAACCGAAATAAAAACAAAAATATATTGGCTCTGTTTGTCGTGTTTTTTTTGCATATCGTTGTAAATTCAATAATCTTTCGGCTTTTTATCCAAAAAAATACCCGGTTTCGTTTGTGGTTTTGCCAAAGTGTATGTATATATCATGTTTTTGACCAGCTCGCCACTAGCTCTCTCTCTCTCCCAGTTCCTCCCTGTTTTATTTATATTGTCCGTCCGTTCGTTTATTTTGGAGCAAGAAGAGTTCTGTTGGCTGGTTGGTTATCTTACTCAAAATGTGATTTGTATGTGTGCGAGTGTGTGTGCTTTTTTTTCCTCGATTATTATTGCATGAATTCTCACGCAATCCGACGACCGGCATTACTTGTGGTGTTATGTTATGATCACCATTAGCAAAAAGAAATTGACATTTTTCGCATTTACTTAAACAAAAATTATAAATAAAATGTTATTAATTTCTAGAGGAGCATTAAAGCAAACAAAATTTGTGACAAGTTACAAGCAGCTGGTGGTGCCAAAGACCACACAAAAAACAACAGTAGCAGCAGCATCGACATCGTCACACCAACTTTGTTTTACAAAGTCGTCGTCTAGCGAAAAAGAATTACGCCAAGAATTAAACGGAGGGAATTTCTCATTTGTACCGACGCGAAATAGTCACGTAAGTTTTTTTGTGAAGATTTTGAAAAAATTATTGGAATATCTTTTTACATACGTACCCACAGATCATAATGGGAGGACGTCAACGTGGTAATTCTGGTAATAGTGGTGGCTTCTTTGGCGGCGGTGGCGGTTATGGTGGTGGTGGCTATGGCGGCGGTGGTGGTTATGGTGGCGGTGGTTTTGGTAACAACGGAATGAATCCTTTCAACAACAGCAGTAAGTAAACTATATTTTTTAATATTGACACCTGTCATGTATCTCATGGAATAATATTACACACTTTTTTCCCAACATCTGTTATCTATGCCCCAAAAAAACACGATGGCAATAAGTGTTCTATCTATTAGATATTGTTGTTATTGTTTTGAGGCTTATATGCTAAATTACATTCTTACCAAGTTCTAATTTTATTTTATGATGATATTTCTATTAGGGCAAGCACAATATCGTATTATTAAAACAAATCCAAAGTACAGGGATCGGAGGGCTCCACATCGTGCATTGACATTGAAATTATTCGTAGGATGTTTTGTAATGAGAACCAATAGGTTAGGAGTATGTGCACCTGTCCCACTAAGACAGAATTTGTGTTCTTCACTAGGAAACGTATGATTCCTAGTTTCCGCTTGCCATCTTTGGGAGGAGTGACCCTACCCCTTTCTGAAGAAGCAAAATACCTTGGTACAATTCTTGACTGCAAATTAACGTGGAATAGGAATGTTGAGGAACGCTCTAAGAAAGGACTGATATCACTCTACTTTTGCAAGTACTCCATAGGAAAGACCTGGGGACTAAGATTAGAGATCATACACTGGCTGCATGTGACGGTCGTTCTCTCCATTCTTACATATGGTTGCCTTGTATGGTGGCAGGGGGTTAACAAAAGATACTGGTGCAGGAGATTACTGAATTGAATTCATACAACTCATGAAAACTTAACAAACTTTTCAAACAGAAATACTTGCAATCACGAAAGCGGCCGAGATGGTCAAAACACTTACTGCGGAAGCAGTGACTATAAATGTCGATAGTCAGGCGGCCTCAAGGCTTTGAAGACGTGCACTAAAAACTCAATAGCAGTAGTTAATTTTTGTTGACTTTCAGGACATAGCAACATAGAAGGGAACGAGATAGCCGACGAGCTTGCTCCAGGGGGCTCACAATCGTCCAATCTTCCGATTGAGATATATGAGCAACCACCCATTGTCTATTTCATATGCAAAATCCGTTTGATCTACGGCGAGGTAGTCGGTAACAGATGATGGAGAAAACCTGGTTGCAGAATCTCAAAAGCTAATTCTCTCGCCGAAGAGCTTCTTCGCTGTTGGCACACAATAAGAGATAGATCAAAATCATTGTGCGGATCATAACAGGTCACTGCAGGATTAGATCTCTCAGAGGATTACTGTCGTCTATGTGAGGACGAAGAAGAGCTAGAAACAATTTAACATATCCTCTTTAGATGTCCATCGCTGAGTGGCAGAAGGCAAACAGTTTGTAAGATATGAAATTGATAAGCTAGCTTTCTTCTCTAAAATAGACCCCAACCAGATTCTAGGCATTGTCAAAAATCTGGCATGGCTAAAATAACCATATCTAGGCTCTCCTTCTCCTACTATTTTCCCTCTCTTCCACTCTCTCTTATTTTCCCGTTTTTTTTTCAGGTATCCAAGATGATCACAATGGACAATAGTCTCCGAGTGGACGGTTGTTAATATTAACCGTACATCCTTAACCTAACCAAAATACCGAATCCCTTAAAAAGCCACGCCTATAGCTCTGGTATCCTTTGAAGAAATATTCCGTAAAATTCCTTGAAGAAATGTTTCTTAAAATTCCTTGAAGAAATACTTCGCCTATAGAAGTCCTAAAAAATATTCTTTGAAAATCAAAGTATATAACTGTGGTAGTCCTTGGAGAAAATTTCTTTAAAATTTCTTTACCAAAACTGTTGAATTCCTTGAAGAAATATTCTTTAAAAGTCCTTGCCTAAAACTGTGAATGTCCTTGGAGAAATATTCTTTAAAAGTCTTGCATAAAACAATGGTAGTGGAAGAAATATTCTTTAAAAATCCACGCCTAAACCTGTGGATATCCTTCAAGAAATATTCTTTAAAAATCCTTTTATAAAACTATTATAGTTTACGCCTAAAACTACGGTTGTCCTTGAGGAAATATTCTTTAAAAATCCTTGCATAAAACAATTGTAGTCCTTGAAGAAATATTCGATATTAAAACAACGCCTAAAACTGTGGTTGTCCTTGAGGAAATATTCTTAAAAAAATCCACGCCTAAAACTGTGGTAATCCTTGAAGAAATTTTCATTAAAAAATCCACGTCTAAAACTGTGGTAATCCGTGAAGAAATTTTCATTAAAAAATCCACACCTAAAACTGTGGTAATCCTTGAAGAAATTTTCATTAAAAATCTACGCCTAAAATTGTGGTAGTCCTTAAAAATCAACGGCTTATCTGTGGTAGTCCTTGAAGAAAATTTCTTTAAAAATCCACGCCTAAACTGTGTAATCCTTGAAGAAATATCCTTTAAGAACTCACGATTACAGCTGGAGTTGTCTCTAAAAAAATCATGTTCTTTTACCTTATTTAATTTTTCTTTTCTTTCTTTTCCTTTTAGTGCCACCTAACATGTCCAACAATGATCTCATGCAAATTATGAATGCAATGGCAAGTGGTTTTAATATGAATCCTCCTCCACCGCCACCAGTGCGTGTCGCTTGTGGTGATTTACGGCTCAATCATGTGGGCATGTATGTTGAGCTGACGGGACGTTTAATTAAAAAACGGGTTTCTCGCTTTATGGAATTGAGAGATCGTGGCAATGGCGCCTGTCAATTGGTCATTTTGGAAAATAGGGTATGCTCATGTACTCCAAAGAATATATATTACTTAAAAATTATTTAAATATTTTATATTTTAGAATCCACGTGTGGCCCGTCGTTTGGCTAACATGCCCGAAGATACTATCGTTTGTATTGCTGGTACAGTACAAAGACGTCCAAAGAATTCCTGTAATCATACAATGCCAACCGGTGATGTTGAGGTAGAAGTACAGGATATACTCAATATTGATTTCAATAATAAAAGGGCTGGTGATAAGAGATCATATAGCACCATGAGCCAAAATAGTACAGCTATTACCAGTACGGAATATAAAATTGCCAGTAAGTATGGGGATATGTTTTTTTTATTATTTTTATATTTAAAAAATTAATTTGTGTTTTGATTTTAATTTTAGAAAATGAAAACATTTTAAAATATTTTGAGAATCGTGATCTAACTTGCAATGATGTTAGACGCCGTGACATTGGCAAAGATATCACCTTGGTGGGTTGGATACCCAATGGTAAAACATCAAAATTTTTACAATTGAAAGATGGTTATGGCCAGACCCAAATTATTATTGAGGATGATAATGTAGGTTTAATCGCCATACTAAAAAGTAATGACATATTATAACTTAGCTTCTTGTAATTCGTAGATGCGTGATACCGTATGCAGTGCACCGGATGGCACTGTTGTCCAGGTGACAGGAAAAGTTTGTGCTAGACCCAAACAGAATATTAATTTGGTAAGTTGGAATTAAAATTAAATTTTATTTCATTCTAACTAAAAAAATTGTTTTACTTCTTTTTTTAGAAACACGAAACTGGTGAGGTTGAACTTGTTGTTGCAACGGTTAAGGTCCTTAATCCCGATGAACCTTATGATGGTCCCATCAAAGTCAAGGAGAAAGTTAAGAAAATGTCCATTGATGATGTTGTGGATGAAGAGGCCGCAGATGGTGAAAATAATGGTAATGATGCTCAGGGTGAGGGAGCCGCTGCTGCAGGGGGTTCTAAAAAATCCGCATCATCGAATGTTGTCTGTGTAGCGGATTTAAATAAATTTGCTAGCCGCACTCATACCTGCGGTGAATTGACCACCGATAATATTGGCGAAAAAGTAACCCTCTGTGGATGGCTGGAATTCCAACGTATGGATCGTTTCTTTATATTACGTGATGGTTATGGCTCAACACAGGTTTTACTAACCGATAAGGTGAAAGGTTTCGAAGATAAAAATCTTAGCCTTGAAACTGTACTAAAAGTTGTCGGTACTGTAATACCCCGGCCGACAGCTACCATTAATCCTAAAATGAAAACCGGACATGTTGAAGTTGAGGCCGAGACGGTAGAAGTATTGAATGCCGCCAAAAAGAATTTACCATTTGAAGTGCGTCGTTTTAATAGGGCTGGTGAGCGATTGCGTTTAACTCATCGTTATATAGATTTGAGGTAAGATATTTAGGGAGTTTCGTTGTGGTGTTATAATTATATATCTGCAAAGAAACCTCTCCTCCCATGATTCTTTTTCTGTAGAGGTATTTTAAGAATCCCCAGAGGAAATTAATCCACGCCAAAAACTTATCATTTTTGAAGAATTTTTTGTTAAAAAATCACTCATTAAACTTCACTCCTAAAACTGTGGTAATCCTTGAAGAGATTTTCATCAAAAACTTCACTCCTAAAACTGTGGTAATCCTTGAAGAAATATTCCTTAAAAATCCACGCCTATCCTTGAAGAAATATTCCTTAAAAATCCACGCCTATCCTTGAAGAAATATTCCTTAAAAATCCACGCCTAAAACTGTGCTAATCATTAAAAAAATCCACACGTAAAACTTTGGTAATCCTTGAATAAATTTTCATTAAAAAATCCACGCCTAAAACTGTGGTAATCCTTGAAGATATCCCTGAAATATTCCTTAAACAAATTCACGCCTAAAATTGTGGTAATCGTTGAACAAATTTTTCCTGACCTTCTCCTTTCAGATTTGCTGACATGCAACATAATTTACGTTTACGCTCCCAAGTAATTATGCGTATGCGTGAATATCTCATAAATTATTTGGGTTTTGTTGAGGTTGAAACACCAACACTGTTCCGTCGTACACCCGGTGGAGCACAAGAATTTGTTGTACCCACCCGTAAGGCGGGACACTTCTACTCTTTGGTTCAAAGTCCACAACAATTTAAACAAATGTTAATGGCCGGTGCTATTGATCGTTATTTCCAAGTTGCACGCTGTTATCGTGATGAAGCTACACGTCCCGATCGTCAACCCGAGTTCACACAACTTGATATCGAATTATCCTTTACCAAACGTGAAGATATTCTACAATTAATTGAAGAGGTTCTACGCTATTCATGGCCCAAGGAATTGGGTAAATTACATACACCATTCCGACGTATTACATATGAGGAGGCTGTTGAGCGATATGGTAGCGATAAGCCAGATACACGTTTCGGATTTACTGTGAGTCATCACTTTTTTTTCTTTATGTATTATTTTAATACGTTTTTTTATTTAATTTTTTGCAGCTCTCCAATGTCACCGACATCATTGAAAAGAATCCAACCTTTGGTGAAAAATTCAAAAATTTAGGAGCCTATGTTATTATTGCTCGTGGTGGTGATGCCTATTGGAATACAGGCGCACGTAAACATTATGAAAGTTTATCTAAGGAATTTTCCGGTACTCTATTTGTTCGCAAATTTGTGGTAAGTTGTTTCTACTTTTTCATGGGATTTAAGATGTGTTAATGTTTTGATTTTGTTTCGTTGCAGCAATATAAAGACATATTGGATCGCTTATCTAAACTTCTATCCAGCGAAGTGGCAACAGAATTAATTGAAAAATTCGACATTGAAGAAAATGATTTGCTTTTCATGGGCATTGGTGAAAAGGATGAAACTGTGAGTATTAATTATCCGTACAGAAACAAATTTTCTCCTTCTAAGGGTCTGCCATGGATGGAAGACTCTGTAAAGTTCTATGGATAGACGGATTTCCTTAGGGATATGGATAGGATAGGCGCGTCTTCCCGGTTGGCGGATGGGAAGGGGTTTCTACGATGTTTATTTATTTATTTCAATTTTAACATGTTCAGGGTGGAGCGGACCTAGATCAAACTAGGCCGGATCTTTTCTCTGCACTTCGTGGAATCCTTGGGAATCTTCGGATCCCCCGTGGATCGGGGTAGTGCCCTTAAAATAATCAACTAAGATGTTTAAAAAGAATAGGAGAAATAAAGTTACGTTGCAGGGTGTTAATAACCCAGTACCGGCGGCAATCGTTGGCGAGACCACTAACCACGTGTCGTTGAGATCAACCGATTGTGATCCGGCTGCTCTAGGTGTGCTACAAGCGCATCATGTTTACCCAAAAAAAGATGACGACCCGGCAATTAAAATGGAAAACGAACTAATCAAGCTAGTGAAGCAAATCAGGCTACGACTGGCAGGACTGTAGTTCGGGGAGGGGACGACCTACATGTGATTACCTAGAGAAACAATAAAATATTTTTTCAAGGTGTAGATTTTTTAAAAATATTTTTTCAAGGCCTAGATTTTTTAAAAATATTTTTTCAAGGCGTAGATTTTTAAAAAATATTTTTTTTTTTCATTTTCCAGCGCAAACTTATGGGTAAAATACGTTGTGACTATCAAACGTTCCTCGTTGATAATGGCAAGGCACGTAAAATTGCCGAAAATAAATTCGTTTGGGTCTTAGATTTCCCCATGTTCGAAAAGAATCCAGAAACGGGTGTACTAGAAAGTGTTCATCATCCGTTCACAGCACCCCATCCCGACGATATGGATACATTTGTTAATGCCAAACCTGATGAATTATACAATATACGTTCGCAGGCCTATGATCTAGTACTGAATGGCCAAGAAGTCGGTGGTGGTTCAATGCGTATACATGATCGTGATATGCAGCATTATGTGTTGGAAGAAATCCTTAAAATACCCCATGATCATTTGGCACATTTGTTGAGTGCCTTAGAGTCGGGATGTCCGCCGCATGGTGGCATTGCCCTGGGTCTAGATCGTCTAATATCGATAATGTGTAAGGCTACCTCTATACGTGATGTTATTGCTTTCCCAAAATCGTTGAATGGTAAAGACCCCTTGTCCAATGCACCAGTTCCAATTTCACCGGAAGAAAAAGCTCTCTATCATTTGTCAGTTCTTGAAAATGATACCGGCAATGAACACGAAGAAGAAGATACCGATCCCGATGCAACGCGACGTGTTCCAACACCTGTTATGGCAGAAGAGGAGACTGATGGTAGTAAAACAGAAACGGTAGATAAAGCCGAACCTATGGAGGCTGATGCAGACAATGAAAATAATGCAACAGAGGAGGTGGAAACCCCCAAACCAACAACAACCACAAAACGTGCAGTTAAAAAGAAGCAATAAATAAAAGAACTAGAAAATGATGCATTACAATCATCAAGTGTGGGAAGAAAGAATGACATAGAAATTTACCCATTATAAGAAGGAGTATAATGAATTCCATAATTTATTTCAATTCTTTTTTTTCAATTCGTTCATGTTACCCACTCTCACCCTCAATTGGAGCATTCTCTGATTTGCCGCTGTGCGTATTCTTGCAAACTCCCAAAAATTTACACAACTTTTTTTCTGTTATACCGTTTTTTATCAATTATTAAGTTCTTCTTCTTTCATATCTCATAATATTCTTATTATTGAAAATTTTCAATTATTTTAATTTTGCATTTAGTAAATGCAATCATTACAGTTATAAGATAATACTTGATAGTATACATAATATTATTATTATATTAAATAAAACAAACTTTTATTGATGAAAAGTATTTTCAAGGGTTCTCATTAGGCGTTGATTTTTAACAAATAATTTAAGGGCCATCAGAATGTTAGGATTTTTTAAAAATATTTTTTCAAGGCTTAGATTTTTTAAAAATATTTTTTTCAAGGCGTAGATTTTTTAAAAATGTTTTTTAAGGCGTAGGTTTTTTAAAAATATTTTTTACCAGGCGTAAATTTTTTAAACATGTTTTTTCAAGGCGCAGATTTTTTTTTAATTTTTTTTCAAGGCGTAGATTTTTTTAAAAAAATTTTTTTCAAGGCGTATTTTTTTTAAATAAAATTTTTTTGAGGCGTAGATTTTTTAAAAATATTTTTTCAAGGCGCAGATTTTAAAAAAAAATATTTTTTTAAGGCGTAGATTTTTTTAAAAAATATATTTTTTTAAGGCGCAGATTAAAAAAAAAATTTTTTTTTAAAAGATTTTTTTAAAAAAAAAATTTTTTAAAAAAATTTTTTCAAGGCCCAGATTTTTTAAAAATAAAAATTTTTTTTAAGGCGTAGATTTTTTTTTAAAAATATTTTTTAAGGCGTAGATTTTTTAAAAAAATATTTTTTTCAAGGCCCAGATTTTTAAAAAAAATATTTTTCAAGGCGTAGATTTTTTTAAAAAAAAATTTTTTTAAGGCGTAGATTTTTTAAAAAAAAAGGGGTAGATTTTTTTTTTAAAAAAATTTTTTCAAGGCGTAGATTTTTTTAAAAAATTTTTTATTTTTTTTTCAAGGCGTAGATTTTTTTAAAAATATTTTTTCAATGCGTAGATTGTTAAAAAAATGCAAGGTGTAGATTTTTTTTAAAAATATTTTTTCAAGGCGTAGACTTTTTAAAAGTATTTTTTCAAGGCGTAGATTTTTTAAAAACATTTTAAATCTTTTTCCAACCTGCAACCTGATACCTAAGCTTTCCATAGACAATAAGAATCCACTTTTAAATCCATTTTTTATAAGATTTTATTTACATTATTTTTTTGTTTATTAAAAAAATGCCTAATTTTTATTTGTATTATATCACGGCTGATGTGATAAAAACATATAACTTATTAGCTAAAGAAAAAAGGAGGACCATAATATTATAATAGTATGTAGTATTGTAGATAATTAGCATATACAAAATCTAACTCGACATGGCTATTGAGGCGGCAACAGCTTTTTTAGCTGCCTTTTTGGCCGCCTTCTTTTCAGCCTTATCCTGGGCCTCAATGACACGGCGTTTCTTTTTCAACAACCATTCCTCCTTTTCCTTAGCTTGCTTTTCACGTATCAGTTTGCGGAAAAGATTGCGATGACGTGGTTTGACCATACGAGCCTGCAAACGATGTTCGTCGACTTCGTTTTTACGCAGTTGGCGTTTGTTTTCCTTGTGTACTTTGCCGGATTGTACGGCCATTTTCTTTTTCTGTTTGAAAGGAAAGAAAAAAAAAAGAATAAATAAAAGTTGATTTTATAAAATGAAATCTATTTACCTCTTCAAGTCTGGCCTTTTCTTTTTCATCCAACTCTTCTTCCGAACCCTCCTCCTCATCTTCATCCTCTACTTCATCTTCATTGACATCATCGCCCATAAATTGATCGGCCTCGATTTTCTCTTCCTGATAGGCCAATTGCAATTGAGCATCCAAAATGTTTTGTGCCTCTTCACCACCTTCTTTCTCTTCATCCGAATCGGATACCTCCTCATCACTTTGTTCATGTGTCTCAATGAGCGATGGATCCAACAATGCCTTCTCCTCTGGTGGTACATAATCATCACGCTTGGGATCAACGAAGGGAGACAAATGTGGTGGCAACACCACACCCATAAAATATTTATTTGTTGGCAACAACTGTCTCCTGTTGACACAATCAAACACCCATTGTGGTTGTATGTAATCGCGTGAGATATATTGTTTGCTAAGGCTGGGACGATCAACAATTTGATGGGTAATAGTTTCATCGGTTTCATCGAAAGTGGCACCGGGGAAAATTGTCGAATCCCAAGAAACTTTAGCGCCAAACGAACGCAGAATAATGACCAGCGGCTCACGTGGCACCTCACGATTTATAAAAAATTTAAGACCCTTGAATAGGGTACGCAATCTGGCCAGCTCTTGGGCTTCTTGTTTCATCTTCAATACCTTTTTGGAATCACCATCTTGTTCCAACAACTCCATATCCATTTGTAGATCTTCCTCTTCTTCCACCACGGTATCGGTACGCATTAATTCAAAATTCAAGGCAGCAATACGATCCGATACAAAGCTATGTTCATCCTTCAAAGTTTCATCGCTGTCATTCAATACGGATGCTGGGAATTGTGGAGGATATACCATGTTAAGGCTGTGATACAAACGGAAGTTGACAAAACCCAACATAATGGTGTAGAACTCAACAAAGATGGACATCACTTTGAAATCAACTTCAGCCTTGGAGTGTGGCTTGAAGGGATAGTAGTGGGGTACAATCCATGTGACTTTTTGACCCTTAATTTCAGCTTGGAAATAATAGCCCTTAATGGAGATGAAAACTTTGCGCAAAGATTTCGAGGCAATGACATAGTGCAGGAATTCAATTGTCAATCGGCGACACAAAGCTGATTGTTCACGGGGTATCAAACGCAATGAGGGGAAGGTACTGAACAGGAACAGCAGTGTCAAACAATCATCCAAATCTTTGATGGCATCAATAAACGTGGGATAACGTTCTTTGACAATGTGATCAAGCTTCAATTCGGGATGTTGGGCCAGGCGTCTCTTCAAGTTGCGGAAATCCTTAATGGCACGATCTCGACCCGTTTTCTTAGCAAAGATCTACAAACACAAGAAAAAAATAAAATACACATTTTAACATAGTACACCACGTTTCTTACCTTATAGTCACGCAATGTCCAGACAATCGGTTCATGCAACAGAAAACGAATATCCTTGGCATGATATAAAATCTTAATTTCAGAAGAACCCTTTTGGGCTCGGCGCCTATGTTTCGGTTCCCTGGGATAGACACCCTTGATAATGCACAGACGACGGAAATCGTTCAGCGACAATTGCAGCTTACGCAGTGCCGCTCTGCGTGAAATATATTGTGTCGCCTCACCGGATTCATACTGTATGGAATTAGATAAACAAAAATTTTAGTATTTTGTTTTGAAATATACTTTGGCAAATAATTACCTTCTTGGGACGACGCATTTTATTAAATTTTATGGATTTTTAAAATAAACTTTTCCAAGAGAAACAAACGAAAACACGTGCGACGTAGGCTGTCGCTACTCCGTTTATTTTTTTCAATTTGACATATCATACATTGTTGTAACACATGGTAGCATACTATAAAGAGCAACGCTGCCAACAAGGCAACGTTATAAAGGGGGAGTTCACACAGTACAATATTGTCTAGATTTAAAACATGGCATAATAAATAGGTAGTCCATTTAGCGCTGCTGATGCCTCGATTAACTGTCAAAGTGCGTAAATTCTACTTGAATGCGATGTGCAATGTTGCCAAGCATATGGAATATTACAAAGACATATGACAGATTGTCGAGACAAAAACAAAGGATTTTGTTTTGATACATCACCTTATTATTGTATTATGATTCAAATGAAATATTTTATACCATGTTCTGACGAGCACTCGAACAACGTAGTTCGCTCTCAGAATTACCTACATGAATTAACCCGTTCATACAACACTATTCTTAATTCATGTCATCAGATTTTTCTTTTTCAAACTTGTTGTTTCTTCTTTTACACCGAAATCTCTACTTATTTGTGTATATTACATATGAATTTAAATATAACAAGTTATTATCTTTCTCCTGAATATAATAAGAACCCACAGCTATTTACTTTTCATTCATGTTTTCCTTTTTTTTTAAATGTTGTTGTTTTTAATACATTTTTATTCTCTCAACTCATATGTAACATATCAAAAAACATGAGTATATTTTTTATTTATCCCACATTTGTTTCTTGTTTTGTACGCTAATTAGAACCCAATGAAAAGAAAGATATATCGAAATAAGTAGGAAACTAAATTTACTTCCCCCTAAAGGGCTAAGCAGAATGCTCGCGTTGAGCCATCCGTCGCGTAATATGTTATCGAAAATACAAAAACCGCAAGGAAACGATATGCGTTTGTGTTATCGTTTCCTTGTGGTTGTTGTATTTTCGATAACATATAACGCGACGGATGGCTCAATGTAATGGCCCTTAAATGTATAAAAACTGATAATTTTTATACTTTTCATTATTTCCATTTTTTTCTGAAAAAAAATTAAATTTTAGAAATTGCTATAATCCGCATTAAAGCGAAGTTATTCTATGTCAGATGAGCAGACCAAGGACATATTTTACGAGCGCCTAGAAACAGCATATGATCGCTTCCTGGTCATGACATTAACATTCTTCTAGGAGATTTTAATGCAAAAATCAAAAGGAAAAATATCTTTGGCTCACCGTCAGAAAATTCAGCCTTCATGAAGAAACATCCGACAACGGCATGAGGCAACAGATTCAAGCATATACACAAAGCCACCTGTATTTCTCCTGATCACGTAACGAGAAATCAAATTGATCATGTTGTGATATACGGAAGGCATTAATTCAGTGTATTAGACGTTCGATCGATCCGAGGATAGAATATCGATTCGGACCACCACCATGTAAGGCCAAGGTTCGCACTCGTCTTAATATTGCAGTAAAAGTGCGATCTAACAAAACACGGAAACTGGGCGTCTAAAACCCTGCGGACATTAGCAACACGTAATGTAATGGAGAATTATCGGGAGAAAAGGAGAGAGGAGAAACGTATTTTCAGTAAGAACAAGAAAAACGTGAGCGTGAGCAAATCGAGATGTACAGGAGTCAGAATGAAGTCCGGAAATTTTACCAACGAGTAAAACAGCAAACCAAAGGTTTTGGCACAGGTACATCATCCTGTAGAGATGAAGAAGGGAACCTGGCTACAGATACAGACAGCGTGCTGAGGATCAGTAAGGATCATTTTGAAAAACTTCTAGTATCAAATAGTAGCGTTGAAGAGGATAGAGACGGTATAGAGTGTATACCACCTAGCCAAGATGAAGTCAGAATATCAATCAATCGACTGAAGAATAGTAAAGCAACAGGTACCGATGGGTTACAAGCCGAATTATTCAAGACTGGTGGTCAGATGCTGGTAAGGAGCATGTACCAGTTGATTAGTACAATTTGGTATACAGAGAAATGACACTCTGTACACCAAACAGCACATGTTACTCGCCTACGCCGACAACATCGATATAATGGCTCGAACATTGAGAGTGGTAACAGCCACCTTTGAACAAATTGAGAAGGAGTCTGCCAAAGAGGGTCTGGCAGTAAATGGTGGCTAGGTCATCATTGGAAAAACTGCGCAAAAGACCGACGCGCCCGTAAATCTTTTTTAAGCTCGGCTTATTAAACGAAAGTTCTGTCACAAGCCAGCTAAGTAAGTAACAATTTTTCTTTACGATATCGAAAAAATATAGTTATCGGAGTAGTCCGACCATACGATACCCTAAACAACTACCACTGAACTCAAACTTTCTGCGGATCTATATTCCGAGTCTGGGCAATATTTCGCGATATTTGCGTATCATCGTCGTGTTTGATCGTAACCGAAACTTCGTTCACAATTTCAAAGCGATCAGTGCGACATTCCTGTCCTCGTAATAGAGTCGATTTAAAATCGCACATATAAATGGACTTTTACAGTAACCAAAAAAAAAAATCACAGTGTAAACTTAACTGTAACATGGATCAAAAATAATGGTCAATATGATATAATGCCATGTACAGACGAGCGTTGTTCGCTCTCTCATTCGTTGTTCGACCCTTAATTATGAAGGAATTACTTAGTTCCCCATACAAAATTGTCTGAGCGAACACCGACTTTTGTACGTTGTTCAATTCAAATCACTCTCTGAATAACCAATAAATTTGTCCCATCCCTAACAATTGAGAGTATTTATCGAAAATAAATTAATTTTGACAGTTTGAAAATATTTATGAAATTTTCAAACTTTTTCAGTAAAATTGAAAATCATGAATGAAAAGTAAAAAATTGTATAGTTTTTATATATGCAGCAGGATGTAAATTTTGTTTTCTACATAATGCAATATGCATTTCTTTTCCCTTGGTTCTAATTAGCGTACAAAACAAGAAACAAATGTGGATTTCTCCAAATTTTTATTTGTGTTATTTGTGATATGTGACATTTGAATTGAGCAAATATAAAAATGTATTAAAAACAACAACATTTTCAGAAAAAATGGAAAACATGAATGAAAAGTAAATAGATATGGGTTCATACTATAGTCAGGAGAAAGAGAATTATTTTTTCTATTTAGATCCCTATGTAATTCACTAAAATATGTTACATTTTTGGTGTAAAACAAGAAACAAAAAGTTTGAAATAAAAAACTCTGATGATATGAATTATGAATAGTGTTGTATGATTAATTATTTTTCTAAGCAAACTACGTGTAATAAACATGGCATAAGTGCTTGTTGGAATTTAGCAGGTGGTTGTTGTCACTTATGTACCAATTACACCGATGTATTCATATAATTGATTAGTTTTTCGTACACGTTCACGTGTAAACGATAAATGACTAGCTAATTGATCCATATAACGGCATATACATTAGAACTTTTTACCGGGTTAACCTACTTAATGTGGATTTATTTGACATATATGCAAAGGAATTGACAATTGAAACCCACTGGGTTAACCAAATCCGATTAAATGTAAACGTACTAAATGACTACAATGATAAATAAACATGAATATTATTAAACATTATTTTTTAAATTGTAATAAAATTTAATTTAAATTTTAATTAAAATAAAATTTAATTTTAATTTAAAATGTTAGTTTGCATTTTAGGCGTAAATTCTTTGTATATTGTAAATATTAATCGGTCGTACTACAGTCCTTTCGATTGCAACAATATCGATTAATTGTTTTTTTTTCTATCACCTGAAAAGATATTTCTTATCGGAAAATTAGTCAAAAGTCGAACTATGCATCCCTACACATAGTTTCCCCCAAAAAGGAAAAGGTAAACATTTTGACGGTTATGAAAAAACGAATAACACGGCGATAAAAAAATACGGAAAAATTGTGTGCGGAAAAAACAGCAACGAAAATTTGCGGGTGTGTAAATTTAATTAACAACAAAAAATGTAAATGAAAATTCAAACTGAACGGCTAAAAAACCAATGATATATTAAAATTGTTGTGTACCATAGTGGTTGAGAGTGTACAATAAAAGAGAAAATCAATAATTAGTGGGACAACTCCTTAAAAAAAGAAACCTATTGCTGTTGCTGCTTCGATGTTTGTTGTCTTCTTATATAGCGTAGAGTAGTGTAGCACACCATTTGCCACCCCACCGCCAGTCAGGTATCAATAAAAAAAACCAAACCAATTGCCTGTGATGTGCAATTATTCGATTGTTTTTGACATAACCAAATAGCCGATTATTCGTTGGATGGTGGTGGCCGTATATGGTGAAGTTTATCGATTAAAAAAAAACACAAATTAAGAAAAAAGTTTAGTTTTTTTTTTTTAAATAAAAGTTGTAAAAGAAAAAAACGGAAAGAGGAAATAGAGAGACAGAGAGTATTCAATAAGGTCTTGACATTTGTCCGTCACCAAGCAGTCAACCGTTCTGTGAGAGTATTACTGGTACTCAGGAGAGAATAGAGTGTTTGTGTGATATGCAAATAGTTTAGGGGATGATGAGAAGAATTTATATATATATATATATATGTAGTTAATGAGTGTGGTATGTAAGAAGTTGTAGGTCAATTTTTTCCCTGCTTTTATTTCAATTAGAAAATTAAAAATTAATAACAAATTTGTTTGTCAAATCAAATTTAAAATTGCTGTTGATTTGAGAGTGTAAGTGAGAGAGAGATAGTGCCATCTAGGGGACAACAACAAGAGTAACAACAAAGTTTTGTGTAATTACAGAAATCAAAAGAGTGCTTGCATGCACACAACGGGCCAAGAGGGGTAGTAAACAAAATAAGGTGGTGGTATGTCAATGAACCTGTAAGAAGAAGAAATATCAAATCAAAGGAAAAATTCGTAAATCTCCTAGCCAGCCAGCCTAGATGGTATCAAAAGTGAAAGCCAGCGAAGGAACAGTACGAAGGAAACGCTGGAGATCTTCC